CCTCTCACCCCGCTATTCTCCTTCCTTCCCCTCTCACCCCGTCTATTCTCCTTCCTTCCCCTCTCCACCCCGTCTATTCTCCTTCCTTCCCCTCTCACCCCCTTCTTTTTCTGTCCTCCTCCCTCCCTCCCCCTTCCCCTCTCACCCCCTTCTTTCTGTCCTCCTCCCTCCCTCCCCCTCCCCCCCTCCCCCCCTTCGCCAACTGTTCTTTATAAAACATCGGACAAGTTAAACGGTTAGAAAGTTTTAATTGCCCGGCGATAGCACCACATATTTTCTGCATGGCTGGGCCGTAGTATCTCCATTCACCTCTCTCTCTCTCCCTTTTTCTCACTCTTTCTTTCTTTCTCTCTCTCTCTTCACTCTTTCTCTTTCCGTCTTTCTCTCCCTTTCTTTTTCTTTCTCTCTCTCTTTCATACACACTTTCTCTGTCTGACTGTCTGTCTCTCTCTCCCCCCTCCATCTCTCTCTATCTGTCTGTCTGTCTCTCTCCTGCTTCTCTCTTTCTTCCTTCCTTATCCCCATATATCCATTCTTCTTTGCTTATTTATTCTTGATTTCAATTTGATCATTGAATTCCATCCCGTTCATTTTTACTCTTCTCTCTCTCTTCCTATATGTATTTCACTTCACGCTCTTTTCCTTCGCCCTCACATTTATTACTCTGATCTCTTTTCGCTTACTTCTTTTCTTTGTCTATCACTTCCTCCGACCTCATATTCTCTTTTTCTCCCCTTTTCCTTCAATCTTACTAATTCTCTGCAGTGTCACTCTTTCCTTTTCGCATTTTTTCTCCCTCTATCTCTCTCTTTCTCTCTTCGACCTTTTCTTCCTACTTCTATCTGAATTTTTGCACTCTCAATATTTTTCTCTCTTCCCCCTACCTCTGTTATTTTTATCGTCTTCCTCCTTTTCCTCCCTTTTAATTCCTCTTCTATTCTCCTTCAAATACGAAATGAATCGAGTAAGAAGAGAGATGAAAGAGGGACGGGGAGGGAGGAGGAGAAACGAAAGGAGAAAAAAGAGAAGAGGAAAGCGGGAAAGGAATGAAAATAAGACACAACCACAGAGCAAAGAAAAGAGAAGGAGAGAAAAGATAACCAGAAAGAAGGAGAGCAGAGAGAAGAGATAAAGAAGAAAGAAGAGGAAAGAGAACGAGAAAGACAGAGAAAAGAGAGATAGATAAGAAGAGAAGAATAAGAGAGAATAGAGAAGAGAAGAGGAAGATAGAAGAGAGGATAAGATAGAGAAGAGAAAGAGGATAAGAATACGGTGCACAAGCAAACAAGCGAACCTACAAAACAGACACACAACACAGCGAACAACGCAAAATTAGTAAATAATAGAAACTTAATAGAAAAAAGCAACATAAACTAATGCATCTTAAAAAATCAAATGACATAAAACACTAAACCTACGCATACATCACCCCATCAAGAATAAAACATCAAAAATTTCAAATTTCCCTTTGCAAATTCACAAAATCATGTCTAAGGTCACACAAGCGTTTATCTCCCAATCGACATGACCTCCCCTTCACACAGGATTCACTCAGCGTCTATTTTCCCCTTTAACCTCTCCTCATGCAGTGAGAGGCGGAAGTAAGCTGCGGACTGGGCTACTGCGGGCCTGAGAATACTTATTGTTCTGCATTTGCATACATACATATTTATTTGGATGTCTTTATTGCGGGCGGCGGAGTCTGGGCTTCGCTGCGGGTGGTCTGGGGAAAACTAGAATGCGCTTTTATGTCTTTGCGTATATACGCTTATATGACACGCACGCACACATACACCCACACACGCACACACACACACATACATACACACACATACACAACACACGTACGCACGCACGCACACACACACACACACACACACACACCCACACACACACTCAACACACACACACACACACAACACACAACAAACACACACACACACACACACACACACATTATATATATATATATTATATATATATATATATTATATAATATATATATATATCATCATCTTTCCTCTCTCTCTCTCTCCTCTCTCTCTCAATGTACACACAACTCACACACTCATTCACCACCACACACACACACCACACCACACACACAACACACATATATATATATATATATATATATATATATATATATATATATAATATATATATACATCTTTTCTCTCTCATCTCTCTCTCTCTCTCTCTCTCCTCTCCCTCTCTCTCCTCTCTCTCTCTCTCTCTCTCCTCTCTCTCTCTCTCTACTCAATATGTACACTATATTATATATACAATATATCCATCTCTCTCTAGTTTCTCTATCTTTTCTAATATACTATATATATATATATATATATATATTTATATTATATAATATATGCATATATATATGCATATATATATATATAAACTATATATTATATATACATTATAATATTAACGCTTGTATATAATACATATATACACACACATATATACGTGTGTGTGGTGCGAGAGCGCTTGTGTCTGCACTTAACTCTAAAGCCGTCGTAACCTCTGTTATCTATTCAAAGCAAATAAAAACCCAAAACTTATTCCTAGTCTTTCAGAAACAACTTTTACCGCAAACTTTTCGGGAATTCGCTTCGAGAGGCAAAGAATCGCGGATTTATTTGGCAGCTCCTTGTGAATAATCTCGGGGCGCTCTCGGAGGACGGCTGGCGGGGAGGGGGGGGGGGTAGTAGGCCAGCGCTACCGAAGGGGTTACGCAGTAGATACCAGAGGAGAATTAGATACCGAAGTCGTTACCCAAGTAATTACAAAAGTGGATATCAAAGTAGATACCAAAAAAAGAATTAGTTATCGAAGTGGTCACCCAAGTAGATACCAAGTATGATTTCTTACCGTAGTGATTACCTAATTACAAAAGTGGATACCAAAGTAAATACCAAAGTGGAATTAGTTACCGAAGTGGTTATCCAAGGAATTACAAAAGTGGATACCAAAGTAGATACCGAATTAATTACCCAAGGAGTACCGAACCAGTTCAAAAAAAAGTGGGAACCGAAACAGATAGCGAAACAGTTACCAAAATACTTACAGAAGCTGTCACTCAAGTAATAACCGACATGGAAACCGAAGAAACATAGAAAAAAAACGGTTACCAAAGGAGTTACCGGGAACAGTAACTCTTAACGGGAAAGTCTAGATCAGTAGCAGCTCAAAGAGGTGTCATGGCATCTAATTCTATTTAAAAAAAAAAAAAAAAAAAAAAAATGACGTCACAAAAGTTAAGGACGCTTTGTGAATATGGTCGATCATACTGGTTTCTTCAATTTTCAAAAAGGATAGAGAATAATGATGTTAACGGTTATATTTCCATTGAACAATCATCAAAACAGACGCCATGACGCCTCCTCGAGTTGCTACTGACCTAGCCTTCCCCAACTCTCGACGAAGGAGCCAGTACTCACTCTTGGGCAGGATCATGGCCTTGGTTCCCGCGGCCTCCATGATGAGCCTGGCCATGATGAGGAGATGCGCCACCAGGATGTGAACGAAGGGCCCCGTCGGACCTCCGTGCAGCCACGCCGCTCTCACCAGCCCTCCTGCAGCGCCTGGGAGAGGAGGAGGGTCCCGGGAGCACACGCCCTCCTGCACGCCGAGGCGATAGCCGTCGTTGGCGTAGTTTCCGATCTTGAAGACGGCCGCCCCGAAGAAGAAGCACAGGAGGACACCCGCGGCGCCGACCAGACCTGGGGGCGAGAGAGGGGGCGAGTGAGCGAGAGGAATGTCGGGTTTTGGCGGTGGTGGGTTTGGTGGTGTGATAGGGTGGGGCGGTTCCTTAGGTGGCGGTTCCTCAGGTGGGCGGTTCCTCAGTCAGAACTCTTCCTATATACATATTTGATACACAAGGGAAAAAAAACAAACATTGAAAGAAACACATGAAGCAAATCTTTTGCGACACAATTTGATACCTATTGTAAAGTCTTGTGTGTGTGTATGTTGTGTGTTGTGTGTGTGTGTGTGTGTGTGTGTGTGTGTATGTGTGTGAGTGTGAAGGAGGAGAAATTTTGTCATCGAACTAGCACATTTGACGCTGGATGATTGTTCGAAACGGGATTCGAAACAGATTTAAGAATAAGATAAAAACGAACACGTTAACCGAGATTCAGATAAAATCAACAAAGTTCAAATTTCACAAATCTCCCGAAAAAAACAAACAAACATGAAATAGAATCAAAATAGTTCGGTTACAGTGACTATGGTAATGAGTTTGACCCCAATTTTGGTGTTGATGAAGCCAACAGGGAAAACTTCGTGTCACTCTCATCTATACATACAAAAACCTGGATTAACTTAGGAAATGGCGGAAATGTGCAAAGGAGTGGAAAGCTGAGACAAAGGAGAGAGAGAGAGAGAGAGAGAGAGAGAGAGAGAGAGAGAGTAGAGAAGAGAGAGGAGAGAAGAGAGAGAGAGAGAGAGAGAGAGAGGGGGGGGGGTAGAGATGGAAAGACAAAGACCAAGGCAAAGAGATAGAATGAGGTTGAGAGGGGAAGAGAACACGAGAAATAGAAAGCGACAGATAGGGAAAAAAATCAACCAACCAAACAGAGATAGATAAACACAAATTTTCTTTATAAACAAACAGACAAACAAAATAAACAAAGCAACAAACAAAAGGGAAAATTTGACCAAAGAAAAAAGATGGTTCACACGCCAATCAAGAACGCCAAAGTTTCTTCCAGCCAACAAGGGCCGAGCGAAGGGAACAGCGCACCCAATTCGCACATCAGGTTGGGAGTTATTCGCACACTATTCTCGAAGGTTGTGTACACATTTGTCTTTATCTATTTTATTTCATCATACATGTGAGAGACTAGTGTTAAGTCCTGTGATATCTTTGGAAATGTGGAGGATTCGTGTTTGTGCTGTCGTTTGTCTTTGTTCATTTGCTTGTTTGTTTGTTTGTTTTGTGTTGTGTTGTGGTGTGTGTGTTGTGTGTGTGTGTGTGTGTGTGTGTGGTGTGTATGCGTGTGCATGTTGTGTGCGTGCGTTTGTGTGTGTGTGAGTGGTGTTTGAATAGCTTAGAAGTTATTTGGAAGTTTGGGGGGGGGTCCAAAGCCGGGGGTCTTAGGGGCTGCAGGCTCCTGGCGAGGTCTAGGGGCAGCGCCCCCGTGTGGGACCAGGGGGCGTAACCCCCGGGAGCTCATTAATTTCTGCACTAACATGTCAGACATTTTTATCTAGCTAATGCTTGACATAATGTTTATTTAATTTTGAACACCAGACTGTGTTGTAGCTGCCCTCTCAGTTGCAGCGACCAGTGTTCTCAACAACAGGGCAACAAGGAATTGCAGTTTGTTTATTTACAGGGAATGGCGAAAGTTGAGGAGTGGGGGCAGAAGTTGGCTCCCCCCTTCTCTTTGCGAGTGAGGGCCGTCCCCTTTGGCCCCCTTTTCCTACGCCTATGGTTTGGCGTTTGTTTTCTTGTTTGTCTGTGTGTATGAGTACGTGCGTATGTGTTTATGTCTATGTTTAAATATGTGTGCGTATATTACATCATGTATACATCTAAAGTAATTCTATCCGTCACTCAAAGATATCCACTATTTATTACGGCTTCTCTCTTCCCGCAACGCATAACGGCTTTTGTCCCCGACGCCGCGCGCCAAAATTCAAAAAGCGCGCTAAAATTCAAAAAAAGAGCGCCAAAATTCCAGCACTCGTGTCCTGCTGATCGCTTTCCAGATTATATCCAGTATGCAAAAGCGGCGGCAAAAGATTAATTCAACGACCCTACCAATTAATGCATAATAGGATAGTGGTCAAATTTGGCTGCAATAACCGGTAAAAAAAATATTTATGCCTTCACAGCTGGTGCATGGGAGGCCACGCGATGTGTAAATGGTCGGTATAAAAGGCTTTTATTTTACGAGACTTGAACGCAATTCGTGAGATAAAAAATTCGCGAAGCCGTTAAAGAGATGTGTTCGTGAACAGTATAGAGTGGTCAAATTATTACATGTTTATTTCATCTATATTCGTTTTTTTCTTTAGTGTTATTTTCATTGGTGACAGACAGAGAGAGTGAGAGAGTGAGAGAGAGAGAGAGAGAGAGAGAGAAAGAGAGAGAGAGAGGAAGAGAGAGAAGAGAGAGAGAGAGAGAGAGAGAGAGAAGAGAGAGAGAGAGAGAGAGAGAGAGAGAGAGAGAGAGAGAGAGAGAGAGAGAGAGAGAGAGAGAGAGAGACCAGAAAGACAGAGAGAGAGAGAGAGAGAGAGAAAGAGAGAGAGAGAGAGAGAGAGAGAGAGAACAGAGAGAGAGAAGAGAAAGAGAGAGAAAAGAGAAACACACACACACACAACACACTCAAAAGCGGAATTCAACCAGTAAAAAAAAACACGTACGCACACGAAAACTAGACAAATACTTAGAATTGAAAAACAAAAATAAGCAAACACAGAAAGATAAACAAACACAAAGACAAGCCACTTTCTCTCCGTTCGGTTGTCTTATGCTTGACCAACGTAAATAAGTAGGGTAGGAGAGAGCGGGAGTGAAGGGAGAAGAGGGTAAGAGGAAGTGAGAAGTGAGGAAGAGAGGAGAAGTGAGGGAGATGAAAGTGAAGAGGGAGAAGGGGGAAATCAGAGGGGAAATGAGGGGAAAGAGGAAGGGAATGAGGAGAGGGGAAATAAAGGTAAAGGAGAAGTGAGGGATAGATGAAAAGATGAGGAAAGAAAGTGGGAAATGATAGGAGTAAGGGAGAAGTAAAGGGTGAAATGAAAGGGAGAGAGGAGGAAAGAAGGGAAGAAGAGGGAGAGAGAAGAAGAAGAGAGAGAGAGAAAGGAAAGCGAGAAAGGACACGAACAAGAAAATAGAAAATGTGAGGGGAGAGAAGAGGAAGTGAGAGAGAAGGGAGGTGAGGGAAAGGAAGTAGTGAGGGGAGGGAGAAGAAGAGGAAAGAGGGGGAAGGGAGGAAGAGAGGGGAAATGAGAGAGTAAGGGAGAGGGAAGGACTGTGATGAAGAGGGAAAAGTAAAGGGAGCGGCGGGAAGTGCAGGGAGAAGGGGAGTGAGGGGAGCGGGGGAAGTGAGGGAGAAAGTAAAGGGAGAAGGGAGTGAGGGGAGAGGCTGCGGGAGGGACATAAAGAAAAGCAAGGGAGAAGAAGTGAGGGGAAGTGAGGGGAGAGGACTCGAGTCTCTTTGCAGTCGCCGTCGCGGGCAATCAGGCGTCTCGCGTCCTTCGAGGCGGGGGAACATTCCGGAAGCGGAAGCAAGGAAGAGGGGAACAGAGGGAGTAAAAAGGGGAGAGGGAGACGATGGAAGAGGAAGGGGAAGAAGGAGAGAAGAGAGGGGAGTTTAGAGAGGAGAGTTTTTATCTAAATTTCAGGAAGGAAGGAAGGGGAACAGAGGGAGTAAAAAGGGGAGAGGGAGAGGAAGGAAGAGGAAGGGGAAGAAGGAGAGAAGAGAGGGGAGTTTAGAGAGGAGAGTTTTATCTAAATTTCAGGAAGGAAGGAAGAGGGAGAACAGAGAGTAAAAAAGGGGAGAGGGAGAGGAAGGAGAGGAAGGGAAGAAGGAGAGAAGAGAGGGAGTTTAGAGGAGAGTTTTATCTAAATTTCAGGGAAGGAACAGGAAGAGGGTGGAGAGAGAGGAAGGAAGGGGGAAGTGAGGGAGTAAAAAGGGAAGAGAGGAGAGAGGAAAGCGGAAGGGGAAGGAGAGAAGGAGAAGAGAGAGGGAGTTTAGAGAGGAGAGTTTTATCTAAATTTCAGGATTAGAGGCGGAGTGTAAAATAGTTGTCAATTCGTTTATTCTGTTCCATTTTCTAAGTTTATTTTCCATTTCCATTTCCATTCTTTCAACGCTACCGTACAACACACACATAAAGCTACATTTCCCTTTGGTATTTTTTGGCCATTAAATTCCCAAAGCCTGTTACCGGGGGCATGCCTTCCCCAGGGTCTAATTCCAAAACAAAATATTTATCTTTGCAAACAAGACTTTAAATCACATGTTTTTCTTTGCTTCTGTTTTTTTTTTCTTTTTAATTTTTTTTACTTATCTTTTCATCCACCACGAGACAAAAAAATATGTCTCTACCTTTTTCCTTTTTTCTATCTTTAGAATCTTCGTCTTCTCATGTCCTTCTCTGTCTTCGTTTTCTCTGTCTCCTCTTTCGCGATCCCCATTCGCTCTCTCCTTTCTACTCTCCTTCTTCTCTGTTTTGTCTCTCTCTCTTCCTTCCTTCTCCTTTTGGTGACATTTCTAATTTCTGTGTCCCTTCCTCTCATCTTTCGTCTTCATCATTTTTTTTGCCCTTCCTCATCTCCTCTTTTCGGAGAGAAGAGAGAGAAGAAGGAGAAGAGAGTAGAGAGCGAGAGAGAGAGAGAGAGAGAGAGAGAGAGAAGAGAGAGAGAGAGAGAGGAGAGTAGGAAGAGTAAAGAGTGAGGTCTCAGGATCCTCTGTCCCTCCTCTTCCCGTTCTCTATTCTCCTCTCATTCTCTCTTTCTCCCGCCGCTGCCTCTCTCTTCTCTCCCATCTCTGATGCTCTCTGTTCGGTCTCTTCTTGTCCAGCTCCTCGAGTGATGAAGTGAAGAGTGAATAAGAAGAGAAGAGAAAACGGGGAAGGAAAGGAAAAAAAAGAAAGGAGAGAGAGAAGAGAGAGAGTCAGAGAGTGAGAGAGAAAGAGAGAAGAGATGAGAGAGATGGTCGAGCGAGCAGAGAGAGAGAGCAGAGAGAGAAAATAGAAGAGAGGTCTCGATCCGAGAAGAAAGAGAGTCAGTCAGAGAGAAGAGAGAGAGAGAGAGAGAAGAGAGCAGAAGAGAGACGAGAGAGAGTGACGTGACGAGAGAGCAGAGAGAGAAGAAGAGAGAAGAGAAGAGAGAGAAGAGTAAGAGAGAGAAGACACATAGGAAAGAAGAGAGAGAGTAGAGAGGACCGAGAGAGAGAGAGACCGTAGCAGAGAGAGAGAGAGAGAGAGAGAGATGAGGCATGCAGATCAGAGAGAAGAGAGAGAAGCGAGAGTGAGAGAGAGAGTGTTATCTGTGTGTGTGTATGTGTGTGTATGTGTGTATGGTTGGTGTTACATCTGTGTCTGGAAGTGTATGTGTGGTTCGTGATGAGTGAGTGGGTGTGTGTATGTGGTGTGTAAATGTGTGGGGTGTGTGTGTGTGTGTGTGTGTTGCCGTTCCTGTTGTATTGTGTGGTGGCTGTTCTTTCTTTCTTTGTTGTCTGAGTGCCAGTGCTTTGTGGTTATTTGTGTGAGTGCAGTGTGTGTTCCTCTTTGCGTGTCGTGGTCGTGCGTGTGATACCAAACACTTCCCAAAAAAATAAAAAAAAAACACGAGAGAAAAAAAATAAAAAAAAAAAAGTGAACCCAGCCTCAAGGACAGTGGAACAATCTCCACTCCTGCGGCTTTTACTGCCGCCGCCGAGACCCTACCGCATGAAAGCCCTCGCAGTAAAAAGAGAGGAGAAGATGAGCGCAATCTGGAGGATGAGGTATGAGCGGAGAAAGAGAAGAGAGGGGATAGGCAGGATGAGGATGAGGGAGAAAGAGGAGGGAGTGGGAGTAATAAAATGGAAAGACTGGAGAATGAGAAAGAGAGGGAAGAGAGAGAGACGCAGAGAGAGAGAGAGGACCGAGAGAAGAGAGAGAGAGAGGAAGAGAGAGAGAGAGAGACGAGAGAGAGAGAGACTGAAGTGAGTGAGAGAGATAGATAGATGATAGAATAATAGACGAGACATGAGAAGAGAGGAGAGGAGAGAAGATGAGAGGAGAGGAGCAGAGAAGAGAGAGCAGAGAAGAGAGAGAGACGAGAGAGAGAGAGAGAGAGAGATCCAGAGAGACAGAGAGAGAGAGAGAGATGACGAGAGAGAGAGAGAGAGAGAGAGAGAAAGTACGGAGATACGAGAGAAAGAGAAGGAGTGAGAGTGAGAGTGAGAGTGAGAGTGAG